CTTTCCCAGCATTAGGCTCTTCTCAAGTGACTCCTTCCTTCTCATTAAGTGGCCAAAGTATTTCATCTTCAGGATCTGGCCTTCTAAAGAGCAGTCAGGGTTGATAAGTTTATTAGGATCAGTTTGTTAGGACTGACCAGTTTGTTCGCCTTGCAGTCCAAGGGACTCGCAGGAGTCTTCTCCAGCACCATAGTTCAAAGGCCTCAATTCTTTGGTGCTCAGCCTTACTTATGGTCCAACTTTCACAGCCATACATTGCATGAAAACCATGCTGATTCCTATACACTTTGCATTTATCCCAATAAGAATCAGCTCTCATTTCTCACTGCCTTTTATGTTTGAAATGCTGTGCATTTAATCTCACGTCTAGTTAAACTATAAACCAGGTTTATTCTCCATCCCATGTGGCAGAGCTATCAGCCATTAATTGTGTACTGTATTAGGCCATGTTTCCTTTATTCTGCCCTGAAGTTCCCACTTACAGATATGTCTGTTGAAAATGGCATTGGACTGAATAATTTTGTCCACTTCACTCTGCTTGGTGCCTCTATGCCCTCCTTGCTACAAGCAAGCCCATTCTTCTGCAGCTGCTGTTAAAAATGCAGGAGAGTCCTGTTAAGAACAGTTGCTGATAGCGTATGACAATGAAATCAACATGGCATATATTCATGCTAACAAGATGCTTACCTACAGGTTAGCACACAGAAAAACCAAATGCATTTTTGAGAAATGACTTTAGAATGACTTTAAAAGGAAATCAGCTGTTTGCTTACCAAGCCCAGTGAGGTTCTGTTACATTCAATGTATTGAATGATCAACCTTTCATTATTGTCAAAAATCTTTGGAGTGTCTAGAAGTACATTGCAAATAGGTCAAAAGTTTTCCCTGTCAGTTGTCCTCTGTCCTCCCTAACTTGTGAAATTTAAGGAAAACTTTTTCTCTCCACCGTACTTGGGATACTTTTCTCCTTTCATATTTCACAGCGGTCATCCTTGCCTTTTCCTCGGCTTTTCAAAGGTATCGTCATTTGTCATTGTGCACTTTTTAATTCTATTTATTTTTTGGGATAACTCAGTTACCTGTTGATGGTGGGAACCTTCACAAACAGTGATTGTGGTTTTCTAACCCTTCTGAGTGGACAAAATTGATTTTCTAACCCCTGCTGAGTGGACAAAATTGCAATATGAAGATACCTAAGCTCAGTTTTCTCTAGTCATTTCCTGCTTCCCCACCCCTGAAACAGGAGTTATTTCTGCAGTCTCAGAAATAGAATAGATTGCAATGTTTTCTGTTTTCATGCTTTCATAGGAAATGAAATTACACAACCCGTGCACACAAGAAAGCAAATATATGAGCATTTCAGCACAAAGACTTCCTCTAACCTGATTCTTATTTGTTGGCTGCACAAAAAATGATTAATACTTCTTCAAAAGAAATGAAACCAATTACAGAACCAGAAAAGTTGTAGGGAGAGAGCCGTATGTATGACTGCAAAAAACTCAGAAATCTGGTAGCACCTTTTCAGACTAACATATTACATTAAAAGGCATAAGCTTTCAAGAGGTTCATCCGTTTCATGGAGAAACTAAACTGATGTGGGATTTAAACTGAGATGGAGGAAAGGGACGGAAAGACTGACAGATCATGCAAATGCAGTTCACATGTGAGACAAACAATAAGAAGGAGAGAAAGAAAGACAACAAAGAGCTTCTTACCATTACTTTCAGCCTTTGGGAGACTCCACAGAAAAGTGAGGATCAGACAGAGGAGTAGCTGAGGAGTCATGGTGCCTATCCGTGGAAAAGAGCACTTTGTTCTCTCTCAGGGCTGGCTATGAACAAGGTTCAAGCAAGCAGGCTTCCTGTTGTTCTGCCCCAGCCCTTATCATGTCCTCCAAAGCCTGTTTGTTTGGATATGGATGGATTCTTCAGATCATTGTGCTGACTAACTCAAAATGCAGATCTTTGCCAAGTAAGGTCATTTGAGTCAGTACAAGATTAATAGTATGAAGTGGGATGGATGCCTCAAAAGAGAGCTGTCCCTCACTGTTAAGCACAGATATTGACACTTAAAGGAAGCTCACCCAGAAGCTGAAAGCAGATTATACTTAGGAGAAGAGCTTTCTCTCGGAGTTCTTCATAAAGAAATTTTAACACACTACATCTAGAGCAATTTGTTCCTAAGGAAGTCCTAGCAAATGCCAACGCTACTATTTTTAATAAGTATACTTCTGCATATTTGAACAGAAGAGAGAATTGCATTTGCCCCTCTTTCTTTCTCTCCTTCCCACAATTTCAAAAAGCAGCAGAAAGTACAGCATTGTAAGTCATATTTTTTTCAAATAAAATATCTTTATTACAATCTTTGATCAGCCTTCACAATAATAGTACAGTACAGTGGTGGGTTCCTCCCGGTTCCTCCCAGTTCCGCCGAGCCGGTAGCGGTGACGATATGACATCACCGAACCGGTTCTGGAGCCCCCTCCCCCTCCACCCGCCCCCCGCATTATTCTTAACTTTTATTTGGCCCCACCCCCAATCTATTGCTGCCTCCTGAGTCCCAGCTGATGGCTAGAGGGAAAAAAACTGTTTAAACTCTTCCCGCAGGGCTTCAAAGGGCCGCCCTACAGCTGATCAGTGTTAAAAGAAAACAAATGAGTAGACCAGTGCCTGCAAAAATACATCAGTAGATCAGTGTCTGCAAAAATAAATGGGTAGACCAGTGCCTGCAAAAATAAATGGGTAGATCAGTGCAGCTCTGCAAACAGTTAAAAGCCTGGTAGACCAGTACCTCTGCTAAATCCTAAATAATTGTCACATGACCGTCAAGCCACGCCCACAAAATAAACCATGCCCACAGAACCAGTAGTAAAAAATTTTAGAACCCACCCCTGTTACAGTACAGAACAGTAAAAAAAGAAATAGTTTAACACATTTGTTATTGAGAATAGGAAAGAATAGGGGACTAAAACAATATAGTTAATTAAAAATTTTGGGTAGTTGTAGAACTTGAAGGTATTTGGCCATCTGATATGTGAGTGTGAGGTTACCCTTAAAAAATAATAAATGTAACATTTATCATTTGCGGCCTTATTTGGAAATAATTGGAGTGATTAGAACACATCTTGGGGCATCATAGAAAGAATACCATATGAGCACGAGTGAGAGTTTCTACTCTGTGGATCCACAAGGACAAAGTCTCTGCAAATAAGGAGCCCCATGAATCTTCATGGAAGCTGAGGTAAGAGAAGGACATCAAAGCAGGCTGTGGAAAAGGCTCATCTATGTTTGTTTAGGATTATATCCAGACCCAGGCATTTTACGACTGAGCCTTTGACTGTCCCTATCCAGCCCGCATAAAGGTCAATTGAAAATTAAAAATCAAATGTAAATAAGTCCACCATAGGGAGCAGGAGAGGAAGCCAAGTCGCCTCCTTCAGTCGGCTGGCGGCTGCAGGAAGGCAAGGAGAGAAAATGCTTTTCTGAGCCTGTACAATTCTCAGCCTTGCAACAGATTGTTGTTGTTGTTAGTCACAAAGTCGTGTCCGACCTATCACAACCCCATGGACGTTCCTCAAGGCCTTTCTGTCCTCTACCATCTCCCGGAGTCCATTTAAGCTCATGCCAATTGCTTCAGTGATTCCATCCAGCCACCTCGTTCTCCGTCATCTCTTCTTCTTTTGCTCTCAATCTTTCCCAGCATTAAGCTCTTCTCTAGTGAGTCCTTCCTTCTCATTAGGTGGCCAAAATATTTGATTTTCATCTTCAGGATCTGGCCTTCTAAAGAGCAGTCAGAGTTGATTTCCTCTAGGATTGACCGGTTTGATCACCTTGCAATCCAAGGGACTCGCAGGAGTCTTCTCCAGCACCATAGTTCAAAGGCCTCAATTCTTTGGCGCTCAGCCTTCCTTCTGGTCCAACTTTCACAGCCATACATTGCAACTGGGAAAATCATAGCCTTGACTATAAGCACTTTTTTTAAAAATTTGATTTATATGCCGCCCTTCTCCGGAGACTCAGGGCGGCTTACAATGCGTTAAGCAATAGCCTTCATACTTTTGTATATTTATACAAAGTCAGCTTATTGCCCCCACAAACTGGGTCCTCAATTTACCTACCTTAGAAAGGATGGAAGGCTGAGTCAACCTTGAGCCTGGTAAGATTCGAACCTGCAGTAACTGCAGGCAGCTGTGTTAATAACAGGGTGCTTTAGACCATTGTACTACCAAGGCTGTACTTTTGTTGGCAGGGTGATGTCTCTGCTTTTTAGTATGCTGTCTAGATTTGCCATATAGTGATAGATACTTTGCAGTAAAGAGCTTATGACTGTCTAACATTTGGCAATGTCATCCTTTTGATAATCAATGTCTCTGGTTCTCTTTTATTGTTGATTTGGCCTTCTCCAGGGTTAATTGGCCTAAGTATTCAGAAAAGAGGGCAAGACAATCAGTGGAATGGCTTGCGTCCAGAAATGTCAGTTCTCCATCACTGAAGAGATTGGACAGCCATTTGTCTGGAATAGCATAGGGTCTCCTACCTGAGCAGAAGACCACCAAGGTCCCTTCCAACTCTGTTATACTGTTACTGCAAAATTCTGGTGCTAATGAGATTGGTAATTATAATAGCATCAGGTCTGTAGAGTCAAACATGATTCTAAGTTTTTATAAACTCCTAATATTTCAAGTAACTTCCTAATTCACTCAGAGCATTTAGCTTATGTGGTAGATTAGAAGCTCTCCCTCTGTCCAGTTTTGCAAAGTCTGGATTAGCTTTTCAAAATCTAGTGTGTGTTTCATTTATTAGACTACAAATCCCCAAACAGTCAGACATCAAAGGAGGCTGTATTTGACTGACCGTTTTTTGTGGACAAAATTGTAACACTTTTAATACAAAATGGGCCAAGCCAGTAGAAACACAGATGACAAAAAAAAAAAAAAAAAAAAACCCCAACCACACACACACACATACACATGAAAATATCCAGGGCAATCAGAAACACAATGAATCAAAAATTTAAATATATTTTCCAGCTCTTAAACAAATATTTTCTATGAAATTTTATGAAATTTATATGCAAGAGTCCCTATCATGTCAGAAGTTAATTTATTTTAAATGTATTTATTAGCTAACTTAAGAAATCAATGAAATATAAACTCAGTTTAATCAGCAATAGAGCAATAAAATATCCATTATTTCAGAACATCTCTAAAATCCAAATGTGTCATTTACAGCAGTGGACATAATTTGTGTATTGACAGCATTATGCAAATGGCATGATCATGTTATTTGGGTATCTACATCATGTGCAAATAATGTGAATAAAGAAACATTTAAAGTAAATTTAAATACCTTGTCTAAATCCAAGGGATTGGTCCATTACAGTGGTGGCTCAGTACTTGTTGTTAATTGGTTCTGGGAGGCACAATGAGTAGTAAAAATGCTGAATGCCAAACAAACTATGTGACTTACCATGTGACCCTAACTTTGGCCAGGAAAGACTTCCTGTCTGTCCCTTTTCTTCCCAGCATGGCCAACTTTCTGTCCACCCTCTGCAGCCATCCCCTGTTCCTTTTGAAGCAACCTTCCCAGTATGGCTGACTTCCTGTCTGTTCTCCGTGTCTGTCCCCCTTTTCCTATTGCAGCACATCACGTACCAAACAAACAACAAGTACTGGGACAACATTTTTGTCACAAAATGTGTCAAGTACTAAATTCAACAAGTTTTGAAGTAATTGAGTACCGAGGTACCACTGTATTGTGAATGGATGAAAGCTTTTGGCCATTCAAATTATTTAATGGCAGTTAATTGAACTGAAGTTTTACTACAGATTTAAAATGTAGAATCTAATTTAAAATATATAAGCTAGTTATAAGCTAAATTCAAAGGTTAAATATTATGGATTCGGACAATGAAAGGGCAATTTGGAAGCAATATGTATTAGGAATCCATATGATTATTTAGCCACTGATAGTATTTTACAACTTTTGTATAAACTCCATATGTTCCTATTGCAGCACACCCTTTACCCCAGCTCACAATTCCCGTTAAATACCAAGTATTTTTGTATTCAGTGGCATGAGGTCCACCACTGTCACCTTCACAAGAATCTTTACTCCCATCGAGATAACCTGCACAGAACATGTTGTCTGAAATATTGAATTTAGTGTGCAAAATGCATTCCTTTTTGTGCATTTTGGGGACTTGCACTCGCATAAGAAGTGCTGAAGTAGCCCCACTTTCCAAGAGACGCCCCCACCCACTCACTGTGGATAATTCAACGTAGTTCAATATCTCTGTTGCAAATCGAGGCGGTGGCAAGCAGATGGGCACCACATACTCAGAGAAGTTGACTGGGGCTGATAATCGCAACAAGGCAATGTCATTGTCAACGGTTTTGGAAGAATACTTTTCATGGATTATTAATTCATCAACTCCTCTTTCTTGTTCGCCTTCATCTCTATGGTTGATACGGTATTCACCTGAAAAAAAAGTAATACTTGATTTATTTAGAAGGTAACGAGCCTTTTCACGAGGCACAAGGCCTAACTAATCTCTTCATCTTCTGGAAGTTAATGAATGCAAAAGTTTTATTTATTTACTTCCTCTTTTACAATAGAAAAAAAATATTTCTTTTTCTCTTTCTCTCCATGGAAAGTTTTTTTTTTTTTAATGTTCCTTTTCTCTTTTAGTGCTTGATTACCATTACTGATAGCGTTTACTTAATCAGGATGTTCTTTCTGGAATATAAAATCTGATTTTGAGGACTTATTTTTAAGAACTGTGCAGAACATTTCAAACACAAAACTTTGCTTAGTTCAAAATGGCTGTTCAAATGTGCCAACTTTGAGACATACCCATGTTCCAAAGTTTTGTCTTGATCTTGAAACAAATTTGTACTTTAGTTATTGTTTACAGTGTCTGTTCAAATCAATCCATTGCTGCGGCTGCTTTGCTATGCTTACATCTGTTTCACATTGGCTGAAAAATACATACTTAGCTGCTGCTCTTATGTCATTTATTTATTTATTTATTATTTATTAGTTCGATTTATATATGCCGCCCTTCTCCGGAGACTCAGGGTGGCTTACAATGCATTAAGCAATAGCCTTCATACTTTTGTATATACCTGCTTAGTAGGGCTTTTTGCCCCCCTCCCCGCCCGAGCGTTGTTCTATTTTATACAAAGTCAGCTTATTGCCCCCACAAACCGGGTCCTCATTTTACCTACCTCAAAAGGATGAAAGGCTGAGTAAACCTTGAGCCTGGTGAGAATTGAACTCGCAGTAATTGCAGGCAGCTGGCAGCCAAGTACTACTTTAACAGCAGCAATTTAGTCCACTGCGCCACCAGGCTCTTTTAAGTCATGGGACTTAACAATCATTATTGATATAAGGCACCTTGGATGCAATCCCAAAACATCTGGAGCTTCACTTGAACACCATCAGCACTGACAAAACCACTGCCAGTCAATTGCAAAAGGCAACTTTAGTCAGAATAACTTACATTATGTGATGATGCCTTTAACACAGTCAAACATTCACATCCTGCCTATCCCAGGTTCTTGGGAAGGACTCAGTAGTGGCAACAAATGCCAAATCTAATCTAAACATCTGGCTGAGACTACAATGAATCATAATAATAATATTTAATATTTATTTCAAAAACCTTCTTGCCAATTTTCCAGAGATTGCATTGTAGGTAGTGCTTTAAAAGGGGTACCACCTTACTTATGTTAGTGACCCTAGGATGAAGAGCAAGGGAGAAAAGGAGGTTGTTCCAGGTTCCCATTGTTCCTTATTTTGGAATGCTTTTTCATTTCAGAATAGAAACTGTTCAAAGAAGTCATATAGAGCCAAATAGTTCATGTTGATGGCCAGTTGTGCAGGAGCAATTGATATGAAAATAGATGTTTAAAGATGTAGGTGAAATTAATGGGATAGACCTTCCTATGTGGTGGGGTGATTTTCCCTGCTCAATTTCACTGAATTTTAGAAAGTTAACAAAAACCATCTTACCAAGCCTTATCCTGAGATTTTGTCGGGCGACACTATGAAAGCAGTGAGCTGCTGAAATGATCCAGGATGGAGCGATCAGAACACCTCCACATTTTTCATTTCCACGTTCTGTTATGAGAGCCTAAATAGTTGATAATCAAATTGTACAGTTTACTTGCATGTTATGGAGCAGTAATCTTGCTGGCATCATCCAGACCAGAGCACAGATGGGCAAGCATTTTTGGGTTAAGGGCTGCATTCAATTTTGTGTGGCATGCCAAGAACTGCACTCAAAAGAGGGGCAATGGGAGAAAAGGCAGGAAAAGTAAAGGCCTCTTATCTATCACAACATTCTGCATAGTTTCAGTAATTTGTAAATCTGTTTTTGTGCACTATAGTCAATCTATTTATTTTGGAACTAGTGATCTGACCTACATTCTCCTAATGTACCTTGCAAAGTGCAAAGAAAATAGGTGGATGCCTATAGACATGTGAATAATTCAACTAATTTTTAATTTAAGGTGTATTAAATTCTGACAAGCACTTACTTGCCATGGACATTCACCTCGAGGACACTCATAACCACCTATGATTCTTCCTTGTTGATTTGGCCTTTTTGCCAGAGCAGGTATTTTCCCACAGGGATAATCAACTGTAATATTATAGTCAGAATAGTATTTCAAAACCACATTAAATATTTTCAAGCAAATCAATAAGATTTTGAACAATAGTAATGTGAATGCTTTTTAAAGTCAAAATATACAGACTTCTTTATTCACACAGGCATTCATCCATATGCATCCATACACACACACATTGGCATATACATATAGGCACATACACAAACACACTGCAAAAGCTCTATTTCTGTAGCCCCACTCAACATAAATACTACAGTATTTCACTTATAATAATAACATCTATTTGCTGTTCGCCTTCTATAATTTCATGTTCTTAAGAGTGTTCAACTATGTTCACATGTGAATTGGTATCTTTCCTTTTCTGTCAAATGAAAAATCAATGTGAAATATACATTGGTAATTATAAAAATTAATGGTAGCTAATGGTGAATTTCTCCTTTTCCTTCTTCTGAAACAGTTTTGAGATTTCTAGGTTAGATGAAAATTTCTGAAAGTGAAACAACCCCCTGAGATATGAACTTCCCCAAACAAGGCTCTTTCTTGTAGAGGGGGAATTGAATTGCAATTCCTCCTCAATTGTACAATTCCTCGTACAATTGAGGAGCAGGTAAAATTGTTTTCAATAAAATCAAGGCCTGTCTCATTGGGATCCAACTATTTATGGTCCTTTAGGATTGGACGCCAAGAAGGCATCATGGTTTTGTTTAAAGACAACTGTCTTCACTGCAGAAAGACCTTATTCTCACCCACCAGCACCCTCTCCACCCAATTTTGCCTCATGCAGGCAGAAGCATGACCTAGTCCCTGGCATCTCCTGGTTGGTGAAAGATGCCTACCTGAAGCCATGAAGAATGCGAGCATGACATGGCATGAGGTATTTCCCTCCCAGTGCAAATAGATGTCTTAATGGTGAGCCCTGGCCAAGGGTTTGAATGTCAGCTCAACAGGCTGTCCCTGCTTTCCATCTTGAGATCAGTATTTCAATACAGAGACTGATAAAATTAGAACAGGCTGTAAGGCTGACTACTTAATTCATTCTAGCATTGGGACCATTGCATGTCAATTAATAGTGAAAAGTTGTAGTTGTATGTCAATTAATAGTAAAAAGCCATCTATCTATACCAGTCTTTCTCCACCTTAATAACTTTAAGGTGCATGGAGTTCAACTCCCAAGGTTGCCAAGGTTGATAAACATTGGTCTATGCTCTGGCATCTATCTGAAAAGGAATATTATGGTGTGATGGCTGATTCTTACCTTCTGCGATGCAGGATACTTGGTCACTTGCTAACCTGTATCCCTCTGCACAAAAGCACTGTCTTAATGTGGTTGAGGAATCTACACAAAACTGCTCACAATTGCCATTTTTAAAAAAACATTTCAGCGTGCTTTCTGGTCCTAAATATAGAAAAGAAGATGTGAATTAACATTTTCCTGGTTTGGATAGGAAAGGGTTGTGGGGTGGGGTTCCTGCTGGCAAAGAAGGCTAAGAAGTCAGATTCTGGAACAGGAGTTTCCATGTTCTAGATTCTAAGGAAGAATGGAAGACAGAGTTAATGGTATTCATATAGCTCCCTTAGAAGGAAGGATACTGCTTGCATCACCTTTGTTTTGGAGTGCACAGCTCTGTAAATCTGCATAAGCACAGGTCTCCAACAGGACTCAAAAGTAAATTGATCTGAAGATCATAGTGATATGAAAAAAAGACACTTCAGGTCTCAAAACCTGGATATCACCCACTGCAGTTTTAAAATATTCTGATATCTGGATTTTTGAATGAATGGTTGAGAGAATATGGAATAATGACCAATCTTCAGGGGCAGAACCAGGGACGAAATGCTCCCGGTTCAGACCAGATCGCCTGATCCAGTAGCGATGGCGGCGGGTGGTTTGGAGAACCGGTAGCAAAAATCCCTGCGCCCTCCCCCCCCACCATTTCCAGCTGAGCCCCACGATCATTAGAGGCTTTTTTTTAAACTTTTAAAAGTGTTTTTTTTACAACCTCTTCAGCCGAAAAAATGCTTTTAAAAGTAAAAAAAAGCCTCTGTTGATCGTGCGGTTCAGCTGGGATCATCAGAGGCTTTTAAAAGCATTTTTTCTACAACCTCTTCGGCCAAAGAGGCTGTAGGAAAAAAAATGCCTTTAAAAGCCTCTGGCGATCCCAGCTGAGTTGCCTGATCGTCAGAGGCTTCTAAAAGCATTTTTTCTGCAACCTCTTCAGCCAAAGAGGTTGTAGGAAAAAAAAATGCTTTTAAAAGCCTCTGGCGATCCCAGCTGAGTTGCCTGATCGTCAGAGGCTTCTAAAAGCATTTTTTTCTGCAATCTCTTCGGCTGAAGAGGTTGTAGAAAAAATGTTTTTAAAAGTTAAAAAAAAAAGTTGGCCACGCCCACCCAGTCATATTACCACCACCACCACCACCACCAAGCCCACAGAACCAGTAGTAACAAATTTTAGATTTCACCCCGGGCAGAACACTTATATTATTTTTTACCAAGTTAGTAAGCATTTACCTATTTCACAATTTATGCCTTCATGTGTTGGAGGACAAACGCATAAGTAGTCTTGATGCCTATCAATACAGGTCCCACCATTCTGGCAAGGGTTGGAGTCACACTGATCAGGATCTGTGAAAATAAGCATTCAACATTAGCACACATTTTAGGAAGGCATTTGTGGCAGAATTGGCTAATTGGTATTCAGATGAATAACCCTTACCTGTATAGATTGCCCAGAAGTTTTTCTAGGAAGAAGGAAAAATATAAAGCAAATTATCCAACATTAATGCTAATTTTTTTCACAAGAAAAGTAATACTTGGATGAATCCTAACCAAACTAATATTCGCTAGCTGAGTGATGGCGAACCTTTTAGAGACCGAGTGTCCAAACTGCAACCCAAAACCCACTTATTTATCGCAAAGTGCCAAATAATGATAAAGAAGCTAAATGTTCTAAGAAGAACGTGATAAATGCACTTTTATGCCCCTTCATTTTTTTCCTGCTTTTGAAATATTACGTTTAACAACAATAAAAAAGAAAAACTTCTGTAATATCATTTCTCTTTCCCTCCCTCTCCCTCTCTCTGTCTTTCCCTCCCCCTCTCTATCTCTCTGTTTCTCTCTCTCTCTTTCCCTCCCCCTCTCTCTCTTTCCCTCCCTCCCTTTCTCTCTCTGTTTCTGTCTTTCCCCTCTCTCTTTTCCTTCCCCCTCTCTCTGTCTTTCTCTCTTTCCCACTCTCTTTCCCTCTCTCTCTCTCGCTTTCTCTCTTCCCCCACCTCCCAGGGGGTGGGGGGAAAGGAATCCCCGAACTGGTGCTGGGTGTGGGAATCTGACGTCTGGAAGCCGACAAGCCCGGGAGCAGTATGCCCACGCTCAGCTGGTTGGCGGAGAGCCGAAGACCAGCTGGCCAGTCGGGAGGCAGGGCATCTCAACACAGGCAGTCTGCAGGAAAAGCAACTGACATCTGGGAGGTGAAAGTGAGCCCATGACGACGCAGGGTTGCATTGTGGTTCCACGTTGTAATGGGCTCCAGGAGGAGGATGGGACCCCAACTCCCCCATTGTGAAGTGTGCTAAATTTCACTGTGCTGCGCAAGGGGCAGGCCATGGAGGCAGCAACAGCAAATGCACCATGACACAGGCAGAATGCTGTTTTGCGCAAACGACGGTGAGAAATGCAACAGAGAAATGTGATGGAGCTGGGCTGGATACTTTAGATTTAAAAAAAATAATGGTTCTTCCCTGCCCCTATCCTAAAAGTATATATTTAAAATAATCTGCCTGGACAATAGTCAGAAGTACTTTGGCCAATAGAAGTTCTACCCTCTTCCTTTTTTACATATTTCTTTTTCTGGGCATGAATCAAGATATGACCCAGAAGAAGGGCAAGTCTGGTGGGATAAAGAGGTTACAGACCAAAGACTTGTTGCCTGTTGGCCAACAGGACAAAGAAGGTAAGAACTCTATTAGGGATGCACATAAAGAACCAAAAAACATCTTTGGAAGAAAGAAGCATGTAATTGTAAGAGACCACAATAGAGGGTGATCCAGCTTTTTCCACCCTTTGATGCCATCATGAATGAATTCTTGCAAAGTGTGATAGCCCAATTTAGATTTTATATAGCTGTTACTTGGCTATGTGAGATCTGATGAGTGATTTAGCACTTGTTCGTGAGAACTTTTATAATAATATGTCATGATATGTAGTGCTCATTTAGTATTCTGAATGGAAAGTCTTTAACAGTATTCCTAGTATGTCATATTTTTTGGCTCATTTATATCCTTTATAGCAACAACAGACTTATTGTCAACTGCTAACACGTCAGATAGGCAAGTATCACTGAAACTGAAAGTTCATTAGAAACAATAACAGGTCAGCAGAAGAAGTCTATTTGTCCACAATAGTTTGTTACTTACGGTCCTCAAATCATCTCGGAAGATTTCTCTTGCTTCCTCCAATGAACATATCTCTTCTAGGCATTCCCGCTCGAGTGATCCTGTTTTAAACTCCTCAAAGAAAGAATTGGCTCTCCTAGCTCTTTGTAAGATGTTGCTGGCTTCCTTGGGCCTTAAGAAAACTTAAAAACAGAAACAACGAGCCAACTGTATTCATCAGACAGAAGTGAAACACCATCCTGCCAGAAATCACATACCCTACCTTAAGTTTCAGTGGGCACTGAAAAACGTTCCCAACTGAAAAAAATTTCAACATTTATTCACATCATTTCAGTGCTAGCTATCAATTCAGTGTCCCTTAACGCTGCTTGTCTGCCTCATTTTCCCTTGTTAACCACCCTTTCACCTGAAGACAGTAGCAATTTCCATGACCCCTGTCTTCTGTCTACTTTTTAACAGCGAAGTTATATTATACAACACATAGTGACCATTACCAATCAGATTAAATGGCAGTGAGGATGGTAGTCATTGTGATTAGCTCTAGCAGTAATTCTCAACTTAAAAAAAACCCTTTCTTGTCTGGGATGGTCAGGTTTTCCTTGATCCTATGAAGTGGTCTGAACAGCATAGAGTTAGGTCAGCTTTTAGCCAATCCCATGTATGGAAAAAACAGGAAGCTTCTCTCTCTCGTCATAGTACTGAGCTAATTCTCAATCTTGTATCATATTTCAAAACAATTTGCTCCAGAACATCCAGGGCTGTTCAAGAAATACAAATTGAAATCTCTCTTGGATTTACTGAAGCAATTATTTATTCTGTAGAAACACTAGATATTAAAAGGAATGCATGTATCCTCTGTACTAGCATTTAAAAGTGTCTTTTCAATATTTCTCCCACAATTTTATGATTTAAATTTTCTACTTCAAGGACTGAAGAATCTAGGAACCACCCTTCTGGACCAGGCCAATGCTCATCATAGACCAGCATTTTCTTTCTCACTGTGCCCAATCAGAAGCCTCTTGGGTGCTCATAAGTAGGAGACAGAAACATAGCCCTTCCCCACTGATGTTGCTCTGCAACTGATATTTGAAGGCACGTTGGCCCCAATCAAGAGGTGACACTGACATTTCAAATCTAGTAGTCCTTAATAGTCTTGTCCTCCATTATTTCCTTGATTTGAAGACCATTAGGCCTAATTGCAGTAGGGCTGTATTTTTAAACTCTCTCAAGGAAAGCATACAACAGTTTAAACAATAATTTATTGATATTTTATTGTATTTTACATTTGCTAACTGGGAACTAATATGAAATGAAAAGTGGACCAAATACTTCACTTGTTTCATTTTTGCTTATATTATTCTTTAAATTTTCCTGATAACTTTGAATATATTGTACACAGTTTAAATGATGAAGAACGGGACTTGGTCTTAATTTACGATTTTAAAATGAAACAATGAATCCACAGTTAGGCTTCTATCATTATTTTGATGTAAAGAATAAAACCACAGCATGTTTACTATAAATTCCCTTCTTGAAAAGGGATATTGCAAAGAGATTTTTGTTCACCCTTACAAGTTTTTTATAATACTTCATAAATTGACTACAGAAAAATTAAAGTATAAAATGCTAAATATTTAAATACATTGTACAACGTTTCTGTTCAGATGCCTTTTCTCATACTAATATCTGCAATATACAACAATCAGAAATGTTGCCTCAAGAATGCTTCAACTTGCTACTTTTTAATCTTATTCTTAGCATGCGATTGCTGATTTATGATACATTAAAATCTGGTTTACTAAAATCTTAGCTATAGGTTTTCTAAGACATTAAACACTATTGCATAAAAGTTGAATTATAGAAAACAAGGAATTAATTCATGACCACAACAAACATTTTCAGATGTGTCATACCTGAAGCCCTTGCAATGGGAGATGCAAGAAAAAGAAGGCAAAGCAAAACACCGAAGTGGCAGGAAATCATGATGAAACCAAAATGTTGTGTCCAAATAGTGTACTGATATTTCAGCAAGGACTCTGAGAGCAAAGTTCTCTGTTTCAATGCTTCGGTTGGAGGAGGGGTATAGAAGAGAAAACTCCAAAACTGGCTCTGGCACACCAGATAGGCCAAAAGAAGGGGATGGAAAAATCAGGTTTTAAATTCCGGTAGACTCAAAACAGGCAGGATTTATTTTAAATAAACCAGTAGATAAAATCAAATGGCAGAAAGTTTGAAACCATCAGAATAGACAGATGAAATATTTCAAATAGACACAATGGAATATTAGAAGACTTAATATTTAGTGATAAAAGGGCAAAACCTGGAGGGCTAATAGGACAGGGTGAACAAAGGAGGTGGTTAAAGAAGTCACCAGTGATACACATTAAAAAAAAATGAGCACTGTTTTGAGTACGCCATGGCGGCTGCCATTTTGACTTTTTTGGCCGTTTCATTTCATTTTTACTTTTATGACTTCCAGACACCCCCAAAGAGTGAGTTCTGAACCTCAAAGAATCCCAACTCCAATGATGCCCTTGAAGTGATGTCCCAGTGCCTGGAGGCCATGTGGATCTGGATGGGGAGAAACAAGCTCAAGCTCAACCCTTCCAAGACCGAGTGGCTGTGGCTTCTGGCGTCCCAGGATAGTCAGCTGGCTCCATCGCTGACTATTGGGAGCGAGATCCTGGCCCCACAGAGAGGGCTTGCAACTTGGGTGTTCTCCTGGATGCACGGCTGCCTTTGGAAGATCATATGACGGCCGTGGCCAGGGGAGCTTTCTATCGGGTTTGCCTGAGGCACCAGTTGCGTCCCTTTCTGGACCGGGATGACCTGCGCACGGTCACTCATGCCCTCGTCACGTCCCGTCTGGACTACTGCAACACTCTCTACATGAGGCTTCCCTTGAAGAGCACTCGGAGGCTCCAACTGGTCCAGAATGCGGCCACGTGGGTGGTTATGGGTGCGACTCGGCGCACCCACATAACACCCCTCCTGCGTGAGCTGCACTGGCTCCCGGTGGTCTTCCGGATGCGATTCAAGGTGTTGGTCACCACCTTTAAAGTGCTACATGGCTTAGGACCGGGGTATATACAAGACCGCCTTCTGCCATCAACAACCTACCACCGGCCAATACGCTCCCACAGAGAGGGGCTCCTCAGGGTGCCGTCGGCCAAACAATGCTGACTGGCAACACCCAGGGGGAGAGCCTTCTCTGTGGGGGCACCAGCCCTCTGGAATGAGCTGCCCCTAGAGCTCCGTTTTAGCCCCAACCTGCGTACTTTTCGCCGCGCCCTTAAGGCCTTCTTGTTCCAGCAAGCCGGACTGGCCTAATACGAATTTTATTATGGGTGTATGTGTGTTTTAATTTGTGGGCCAATTTTAAATATTGATTTTAATTCGGTTTTAAATTTTATAAATCTATGTGTTTTAATATGGCTGTACACCGCCCTGAGTACCTCGGGAGAAGAGTGGTATAGAAATCTAATAAACTTCAAACTTCAAACTTCAACTCCCTATTTGGTGACCCTGACACTGTTCTGATTTATTTCATGTATAGCTACAGTTCAATTCTATTTCTCTGGCATAATTTTGTTAGTTTATAAAACTCAACACATCTTGAATACCTCATTCGGGCTTTTTAAATATAAAATAGACATTCATTTCTTCATTAAGTGGTAGAAGTCTGGCCAACAAGCATAATAAAGAATCCCTATTTTATTACCCATTGCTGACTGAAATATTACTTGAAATATTACAGATTTGGATACGTCCCCCATGTGAAATATCAATACTGGTGAGGTCAGAGAGGCTCAGAGTCACCTAATGAGTTCTGTGGTTGAACAAGAAGTTGATCACCCGATTTTTCTTGTTTGTGCCCAATAAATTTGGTATGGATTGTGGCATCATAAGTATTCTTAGGGAACTAGCAAGATACTTGGTGATTTCAGTAACCTTGCCCTGAAATCCACAAGAAACTGGTTTCAAATTGAGAACCACCATACACTTCAGTAATTTTGTACAACAGATGTGTTCTGTGGTAATTTCTTTCAACCAAAAATTTTATGCTGCAGATTCTAAAAAATTAAAACATTAAACTTCTAAGCTTTGAAATTCATTAATTTAGCAGACAATACTAAAGGTTATTATAAAAAAATCCATAGTTTTATGATTTTAAGGGTTATGTGCCTACAAATATATGTGAAAATTGAATCCTTTCCAATACAAGAGCAATATTATCTCTCATTTTTTAAAAAGCAATCTGGATTTTGCTAAACACATTTAAGAGTTTAAAGAGGATTTGGGAAAAGGGAAGACCTTAATGCAGCATGTCAGTATAAGATTACCTGTAAGTATGAATACATTAATATTTATAAATTAATTACATTTTATTTTTAAATTTAAAGATATTGTGTTTTTTAAAGCTAAGATTGGAAAGACTGCTCATTTTGGAATGAGGAAAAATATTCATTAAGTATAGAAAACAGACCAATAATAGCTTCCTGAAAAACTTATGTACATGATACAAGATGTGCGGAGAGAATTTCTGCAAAACAGAAAAGAAGAAGTATGACTTGCAAAGTTATGAAAATTTGGAAATGTTTCAATAATATAATGTCTTTTCCTCCCTGCTTTGAGATGTTGCAGCAATAGCTGCAGAAGCCTATAGAGAACATGTATATTCTCCATTTTATCTGATAAATTATTTTTAAATAAATTGGATCTTCTATGGCTTTTAATTTTAAATTTTAAAAATTAATTTAAAAAAACAGCAATTTTGTGGGAGAGCCCTTAAATGGGATCTGGGAATTGAGCTTTACCTATTGCCCTCATTAAAATGACTCCTCTAGCTTTTTTTATTTGTAGTCCCCACAAAAACAAACAACCCCTGAACTTGACAAATGGAGATCTTTCGTTTAGAAAAAAAGCAGGTGTGTGGGATGATTCTCATTCCATTGAATGGTCTTCTATGGCCATGTTTCTGAACCTTGGCCGCCTGAAAATATATAGACTTCAATTTCCCATGGCTGGCTGGGCAATTCTGGGAGTTGAAATTCACACACCTTCAACTGGCCAAGACTGAGAAGTCCTGTTCTCTGCATTTTTTTAAATTATTATTTTAGATTTTTTATCCTGCCTTTATTATTTTTATAAATAACGCAAGGAGGTGAACAAATCTCTTTCCTCCTATTTTTTTCTTAAAACAGCAACTTTGTGAGAGATGGGCTGAGAGAGTATGACTGGCCCAAATTAACCCTGCCAGTTTTCATGTCTAAAGCAGGACTAGAACTCATGATTTCCTGGTTTCTATTTTAGTGCCTTAACCACTGGATCTATAATCTCTTCATAATCCCTCATAACATTCAGGTAATCCACATCATAGCTAGTTTGGCTTTGATACAAGTCCTGGTAGAAGACAAAGGAACTTGTTAAACATAAAGTTACACACATATTAGACATTTTTATTTATTCGCCCAAAATTGAAGCCTCAATATTAGTGGTCCAAAAGAAAAGTAATATTATTAAGTTATTATTTTCAAGGTCAATATCTAGGTTTAGACAGAATCCAACTGGGTTTATGAAAGTGATAATTGCCATTAATAGGCAGCTTTGTTAGAGACACTGATTTGTAGGTTCTATTAGATATGATAATTTTACTCTATTTGTTCTGGCTATTTAATCTACAAGAAAGACATTTACATGATATGTACCAATTAATCTAATCTAATCTAATCTAAATTCCTGTATTGTTGAGCAGTATTTTCTCCCTGAATATGTTAGAAATACAATTTCTAACAAAAGTCCCCACAAAGTGACATTTTTTCCATTGCAAATCATATACTCCCATAATTTTTATCCAGATTTTTTTTGCAACTAATTATCCTATGGTAGTGATTTCCATACCAATTCCTTGCTGAAGTATTAAACTATAATAAAACTGGGAATGGTCAAGATAGAAAAAAAATCAGATAATCAAAATCTGTTTTAACTCTATTTTAATTCTAATTTCAATTACATTAATGTAGAATTTTGCAAAACAATGTTGGATAGGCTCTTAAAGGCCTATGCATCAGTAGATTACAGATCAGTTGTTAGAACTCCATTAAATGTCTTACGTTGGCAATACATATCTTATTTCTCTTTTGTAAAGTTCTACTGTAGTGGTAATATGGAAGACCATGATTATTTTGAGTTTAATGACATATTTTGATTTCTTCCTCCTACCGGTATTAATAAAAGTGTAGAAATTCTGAACTCATTTTGAGGTAACCTGTTTTGTTTTTTGTTCTTGTTATTGCATACAGGAGAAATGTAGGGGATCTTCATGTAGCTGCAAAGCTTTTCTTAGGGTGAAAGTCTCAAAACTTTCGATTTCTATTCCAGTCATGTGCCACCCAGTCAAGATCAGATCTTGTTGTCTCATGACCATAATCATGGTGTCAAGCTTTAATAAAAATCTTGGGGCTGTTGTTTATTGGAAGCTTCTGCACGGGATCTGGCATGGGGTACCTCTGGAATTTGGTCACCCATGGGGTATCTCTGCTATTATAAAGGAGCTCTTGGCAGCCTGAAATACATTTGGGTTTGCTTGATATGTATAGTATGCATTTTTTTGTTATGCTTTTAAATCAGTTTGCTTGAGTTAATAATAAAGCTTAAAATCCATTTATTTACTGATCAGCTTACTGTCTCTGGATCCAAAAGAGCCAATTACCTGGGCACCTAATCACTGCCCTGACACTTGGCAAAAGGCATATTTATATTGCAAAAAAAAGTGGTTTTGGGGAAAGGGGAGAAGACAGTCTTGAAATGATGCTTTAGGGATAGAGACTATATAGGCTTTGTCTTGTTCTGTACCCATTATGACTCCAATTGGATTTACTGCACCAGTTCAACTTCTACTTGTGCCAAGAAACAAAACAAAATCAAAATAATACACCCATGTGCACACGCGCGCACGTGCACACACACACACACACACCTATGTTCAGACCAAC